AGTGGCGCAGTGGTTAGAGTGCAGCACTGCAGGCTACTTCAGCTGACTGCAGTTCTGCAGTTCGGCGGTTCAAATCTCACTGGCTCAGGGTTGACTCAGCCTTCCATCCTTCCGAGGTGGGTAAAATGAGGACCCAGATTGTTGTTGGGGGCGATATGCTGACTCTGTAAACCGCTTAGAGAGGGCTGAAAGCCCTATGAAGCGGTATATAAGTCGAACTGCTATTGCTATTGCTAACAGTTCCAAGAAAGCTCCACCCCCATTGCACTACTCAGGTGTGATCCTGAGGACACGGAGAAACCTCCAAGTGGCCTCAACGACCCTCTAAAAAGGATGCAAATGACCAGCTGTCTGCAAGGAGTATCAATCCTTCCACTCCCCACCATTCGTCAGAAGCTGAAGAAGCTTCTTGGATGAGAAGAGAAACGTCTTCAAAGAGAAACCAGAAAGTCCAGTTGCCTCCTGAAAAAAGAAAAAACACCTTTGGGGCAACCATGGCCTGGAGGACTGGGAGTCTCCATAAAGAGACTTATGTCCATTTTTCACACTTATGACCGTTGCAGCCTCCCCGTGGTCCCATGATCAAAATTCGGACGCTTGGCCACTGACTCATAGTTATGACGGTTGCAGCGTCCCGGGGTGTGTGTGTGTGTGTGTGTGTCACGGGATCCCATTTTGCAACCTTCTGGCAAGCAAGGGGAGGAAGCCAAATTCGCTTAGCGTGACTCACTTAACAACTGCAGCGTTAACAGCTGTGGCGAGAACGGTCCTAAAATCGGGCAAATCTCCCTCGACTGTCTCGCTTAGCGACAGAAATGCCGGGCTCGGTTGTGGTCGTAAGTCGAGGGCTACCTGTTTCACGGGGGGGGTGGTGGTGGGGTGTTAGGAGGATTTCAAGACCTTCCCCCCCTCTCTCTGTTTTTGAGCCCCTGTTTTTCGACAAGACAATTTGAGTCCTTTTCAAAAAACGGACAAGCAACTTTTGAGAATCGGTGACATCTGCCCAACAAGGGTTTCCCATGGAAAGCTGAGTGGGGGTCTCGGGCTGCCCTGTTCCTTCCGTTGAAGCTCTCCCCTCCTTCTTTTGCCCAGGTATACTGTCTCCAAATACATCTCGATAGCTTTGGTCTCTCTGGGCATTTTCACCTGTACTCTCACGTCAGCCCAAGAACTGGTAAGTCCCGTTCCTCTCTCTGTTCAGTAGACGCCTACCCCAGCACGACCCACGCTCTTCCTGGGCACCAACCACTGGCCAAACCTGTGCGCCCTGCCTCCCAAGGGTGGATCAGAGAGAAGTGTTCTGCCCCAGGCTTCCCAAGAGCATGAAGCCGACTCCTCGTCCCGATAAAACCCCTTTTATTTAGGTTAAAGGGAATTCCTCTCTAGCAAAGTCCCGGCCAAGAGTCTTTCAAGAGATTTCACAACCACAGGCCTTTGTCAGGCTTGGAGAGCTGCCAGGCCGATATCTTCCAATCTAATCTTCATTTCGTTCAGTTGTTAGATTTGTTTCAGGAGTGTGAAGATCTGTCTGTGAACCTCCGAGACTCTGTGCCAAGACTTTCTCTTGCACAGCACCTCATTTGGACAATATTGACATCATGGCAGCTTTCCAAGCTAGATAAGGTCTGTGGTCATAAATACTCCTTTGAAAGACTGTTTGCCCGGCCTTTGCTGAATGGGAATGAGAGGGATTCACGTTCGTTTAATAAAAGGGGTTTTGTCGGGACCAGGATTCTGCCTCGTGATTTTCGGGGAAGCCTCGGTCAGAACAACCTTCATAAGTACATGCCAGTTGCCAAGCCTCCGAATTTTAATCAAATGACTATGGGCGTGCTGCCACGGTGGTCAGTATGGAAAACCCATCCTGAGTTAGTTATTTTTTCCAGTGGTGTCTTTGCTCAGAAATCATCTCCGTGCCATTTTTTTTTTTTGGGGGGGGGGGGGATTGTTTATAAATTGGCCGGCTGGTAGCCGTGAATGTTGAGTTTTGCGTAATAAGCAACAAAATGCAAACTTGACGGC